TTTTTTAAATGCAAAAGAGGTACAAGAGATTGTTCTCTCCACTCCTGCTCTGGTTTTCTTTATGCCCCATCTTCTGAATCCTGAGTTTGTTACTCTGCAAATCTATCCTCCCTGTACAGCTGCATTGTAAACCTGTACCAGCTCGAGTGGAGACTCTCTGCATTTTGCAGCTGATTACCTTGGAAAATCCATCTTTTGGTATTCTCACCTCCTAACCCTCAGCATCAATTAGGTACATGCAAAGTGCAGCTACAGGTCAGCTGGTGTTAAAGAGATATATTGGGGTAATCCCAGCTGCTTGGTGCACTGGGACACACGTGCCTTGATGGCTAAATTTCTGAATGTGCGTAAAAGTAGAGGTGCATTTGGTACCTGCCAGTGCTTCTCTGTGTAGGTGAAAATCCTACAGGTGAAAATCATACAGACACCAAAGCTGTCCCACATACTTCACCCAGCCTTGGGGCTACCAGCTGGATTAGGTTGATTGATTAGGCTGATTTACACAGTGAAGACGGGTCAGTAGTAGATAGGGCACCAGCAGGCATAAATAGGAGTAAGTGCTGATCACCTTTCCCTCCTGACTTTAAATCACACCAGTGAGTACCTTGAATAGAGGAGAAAGCTTGTAGGAGTGAGTGGCTCCTGCCTCGTTCCTCGCACACCGGGAATTGTTCCAGATTTGCTCCTGCGGCTGCATCTACCCTTCCCTGCAAGGAGGACTTTTTAAAATGGAGTAACGTTGTCCCGAACGGACTGATGATTCTGGAGCTCCTGTAAGTGGGTTATTGATCACGAAGGGATGGACACACCTGGTGTGCTCGTCTGTGGGCCTCGGCAGTTCAGTCCTGGTGGTTTGCTTCTCTTTGAGGCCTTGCGCAATTTTCTCAGCCAACGCTATGTGGTTCTTAATGTTTGTTTTGCTTTGAAATGAAAGGATGTATGAAAGCGTGTGTTATCATTATTCTCTTCCTTTAATCTTTGCTCCAAAGTTAGTCCTCTCAGACCTTTAATCATCTGTCTTTGTCTGAATTCCCTTCAATTTACTTCTATCTTTCTGGTGCTGAAGTGCTTACAGATGAATGAGGAATTGTATTGCTTTATCTTGTTTTTCCTCATTAGAATGCTGGTGAAAGCCCATGGTCACAGAAGACAGAAAGTAGTTCAGGCTATTCAACATTTTTGCCTTTTCATATTATTTAACCCCTTTGCTGTGAGAGCTCTAAAGTGTTCCCATAGCAAATGGATATTGTGATGCATATAAATTGGAACAGAAATTGCACTGGAATAATGGTCATAGGGCTGCAGCATGAACCACTCAAATGTCAGAAAATGGCAGAGTTTAGGCAGCCTGTTCAGCTTTGATCACACGTTTTTCCTTCTATGTAGTTGCTGTCTGAAAGAAAGGTCGCTCTTCTATGCAAGTAGGACATTGCATCTTCTGCAGTTCTTATTCTTTGTCCAAATTATTTTTATTTAAATTTTCTTTATTAAAAAAAGTGAGGTAAGAGTGAGCACAACTCTGATTTGAGCTTAAATAATGAATAGTTTTTTTTAAATGGTATTAAAGAAAACAAGACTTCACACTGAGAAGTGCACCAGGCTTTAGTAAGGGAAAGTGCTCCCTGGCATATCTATAGAAGTTAGACCCTCCTCACTCTTGCGCAGGTCTGTAAGACAGAAGGGGAATCCCTGGAGTTTGCCTGCAGAGCACAGGCGCAGACACGTACGGAATACTTGTCTGTGGGCATTCGTAAAGTGATACCAATGCGTTCCCTACTGTGCTGATGTAGAGATAATTTGTTTTCCTGCTTCCCCAGTGATGGAATCATCCAAAATAAAACATATCATGGTATCTTTAGGATTACTTCATATTAGAATATATATAATTTCTTGTATGCAGTTCATCTTTATAAAGCAAAACTGACAAAACATTTGGGCTAGGCTAAAGGAAGAGCAAGTAGAGTTTATTAAAGAAAGTAAGTAATCTCTTAAGAAGGAAATGAACAAATTTAGTTGGACTGAAAATCCAGTGAGATTCACAGACACTTTAAACAAACATGAATTTATTGCTTAACAAAATGTTTGGAACGGTACAGAAATTCAAGCAGCTCATCTGGAGAGGTGTTTTGTGCTCATGGACTTCATCAATAGTAATGTTGCCATTTCTAAATGAAATCTGAACTTTTCATGGAAGGGAGGGAATATAGTGCCAAGAAATACTTAATGCAGATTTCATTTGTGTAAGATTTTAGTCTCTTTGTTGAATTATCTTCCTGTAAGTCCCCGCTAGGACACAGACTGTATTTTGGTTATTTTACATAACAATTACCATGCTCTCACAACTACCTTTTATGACCTTGGCTCCAAGCTTGATTCTACAGCTGCTTGATCTCATTGCCTCCTTCACACCTCTTTTCCCACCCACAGTAGTATTCAGCTGTTTACCCCTCCTAGTATGATTACACCTCTCAGGTAATGGAGGTAACTCCATAGAGCAGGTTTTACTCAGAGCAAATTACAGACCCTATTCTCTGCTAACCTTGATTGACTGCAAGGTGCTGGCTGCCCTTGTTCCATAGAAATGGCAATTTTAGCTTATGGAATAACAAAGCAACCAACTAAGTGAATCCTCTGTGCTTTCTTCTGTAACCGCATAAGTACACTGAAATGCTCTTCTCTGCACACCAGTGATCATTATTCTAGTGAAAGCAACCCACAGCCTCCTCAGAATAGATAAGGACCTTTACAAAGAGACTGGGTTTTTAATATTTATTTCGCACACGTGCATACACATGCAAATGTGGCTCACGTTATTTTTAATGAAAACACTAGGGCAAGGCAGTCTTTAAAGTTGGAGCGAAAGCACTGTTCTGCTGTTCCTTGACTGACTACTGTCAACCCAATTAATACTCTGATAATGACAGCTATGCCAGCTGAATGCCACTGCCACAGGGCAATTTCTAGTTTATTTCTGCAAAGTATTTATCTAGAGATAATTACATATTAGCCTGATATGTTTTACTTGCAGTTGCAATACAAATTGACCTGGCATCAAACCATATATTACAACTGTTTGCAATTGTACTATGAGCTTTCAAAATGACTATAAAAACTTCCCCCCATCGAAAATGGAGAAACTTCCATTCTCGTTGCAACTATCCTACAGCTTTTAATTTTAAAAGTAGGTCCTAGTTTTAATGGTGGAATTAAATGTTCTTAGCAATATGAAATATAAATTAGAAGTTAGTATCTACTTCCTAAGGATCACAGTTATTAATCAGAATTTTTAATTTTAACATTAATTTTTCCCATTGTACATGAGAAATAGAGTACATAATGAGTCAGAAAGTTGTAAAAGAAGTTAGAAGAAAAATTCAGTTTCAGTTGTTACTAAAGAGGGAAGAGTGGCTGCTAGAGATCTGGCCAGAGACTTAATGTGAGGATGAGCACAGACCCAGTTCACTACTTTTGACTGGCCCTTGAAGGATGCAGAAAATCAGGGTGCCTCTGCTGTGTGCCTCTCTGTGCCTCCTCCTGCTCCGTCAGTTCTGCTTGTCACACGCAATCCAGTTCAGTCTCCTATTGTGTGAGATGGTGTGTAGGATCTGACCCTGTATAACAAAATCCTTGGTTGCTTCTGAAGTTCAGACACGACCCCAATATTTTCCTCTTTGCCAGACAGCGTCTATGGCTAATGTTGGAACATTTTTCTTTTCTGGTCGAAGAAGCTTTCCTGGGGAACATACTCTTTATTTTTAGACGTGCTGGAGCACCCCGGGGTGTTTGGGCTCCTGATATTTTCAGGTATAGATTTATCACAGCTTCCATTAAGAAATGTTTTCTGATTGTCTGGTTACCTTGAGGCTACTATTATTCAATCCAATTTAAGGTAACATGCAAACAGAACATTTCTTCACAAAATAGAAAAGAAAACCCACAGTCACAAAAGTTTATGAAAGACCCTGCGTGAGTGCAATAAGCTTGATTTTTCCCTACAATTTCTTCACCTAATACCAGAAAGGTTTCTCTGACCCTTCTCTGCCTTTCCTGAGACCTACCTGTCAAGGGTCATGCCTTCCTACATGGTAGTTTTTATAGAGTCCCTCCTTTGGAGTCCTAGGGGGTATCCAGGTAGATGCAATCTTTCTCCCTGAAATGTTTTTTTTGTTCTTATCCAGGAGAAAGTCTGTCCGTTGTTCTTAATTAAAATAATATGATGGGTTTTTTCTTCTTTGGCGAGTCAAATATCTGTTAGACAATGTGTCACCTCCTGAATGTGACTATCTGACTAAAAAATTCTTGCCTGAAGGAAGGGAAACACTTTTTTTTTTTCCTCTCCTTAGGTCATTACATGCACAGGTTTTAGTGAAAGTGTTTTCACTCCTGGGTCTTGTATATCTCTTCATACCCCATGGAAATAAGTGTGATGGACACACCTGAACAAGAAATCAAAATCTGGCTTGTTGCTCACTCTTGGTTGAAATCAAACATTAACTAGCCACTTCTGAGTGACAACAGGTTGAAGTGATGAATCCACAAAGTCTTCCTTTAAGTTCTTCCTCCCACTTACTTAAAGATAATGCACCTGCACATAGGGCTGGGATGGGTGTCTGACAACAAGCTTCTCTTAGGGTATTTTACACCTGCAAATTTCTAGTTTATTGGTTAAAAAGATCTGTGACTTCTCCCTGTACAAGGGTCTGTTCTTCCTATATCGTTCAGGTGTGCGTGTAACATGTTCTTTGAATCTCTTCTTACAAGTATTATTCCTTTACTTTGAAATTATTTGTAAAGACCTCTTCACAATGAGAATGTGCCTCAAGAATCTCATTGACATTTTAGAAAACAAACTTGCATATCGGTGCTTTCTGCTAGAAATGTAATACGTGTTTATCATTATGATGTTAATGTGTAAGTATATATTGGCCAAAGAAAAACACCAGGAATTCAAAAGCCAACATGTCAAATAATGTCTTTTGCTCATTCCTCTTTGCAAACAGATATTCAAGAGTTTTATGAAGTGACACTGCTAAATTCCCAGAAAAGCTATGAGCAAAAAATAGAAGAAGCAAATCAAGTTGCAGAGAAATGGGAGAAGACAACATCTGCTACAGACCATGAAAATCTGCAGAAAAACCAAGAGGTAATTTAACAGATTAAGAATTAAGATATGTATAATAAGTGAGATGTCTGCAGCCTGAGAAAGGCCATGCAATGATTTATAAGATTGAAAGAATGGCATTAATTAAGGAATTAGATGAGGATATGGAAGATGTATAGTGTTATCACTGACCTTGAATATGTTGCAAACTTCTTCATCCTTTCAATTGCCAGCTGTCAAAGGGGAAGTAAAAAACTGTCTCTTTCTCATCCTTGGTGTACTTTACCTGATACCTGGTGTCTGTGATTACCCCCAAAAGAGAATATATCTCCTCTGCTTGTTAATGACCACTGAGGTTATTAATACTCCAGTGATTCTACCCTGTGTAAAAACTTTAATAGGACTTTTCATATTTCAGGCACTGACATTGGGCTGAACTTTTCCATAGCCCAAGTGCACAGAAATATCAACCAAAATAATCTCTGTATGAGGAGTAGATATATAGAAGTTTATACACCGTTGTTTTTCTTCTCTAGCCAGTGGAAGGATTCAAAACTTTTCTTTGTCACCACTGGCTCTAATCTGCCTCTGCCTGCCCCCAGATTATTATTAACTAAATTAGCAATCTAAACTAATAGCCTCCCACCGTGTTTGTACTTCAAAGACAAAAACAGAACCCACAGAACCAAGCAATGAACAGCTCTGTTCTTAAACAGTGAGACAGAAATAGAGTGGGCGTGGATTGCAAATCTCCAGACCAAAATCAAAGAGAAGGGAAATGTATAAAAATTTCCATTGTTGTTATGGTTCGAAAGGATTTTCAAGTTTTAAAAGTTGTTCCAAAACACTTCCCATAGGCATGACTATTTTTAAGAGCTTTCCTCTTTTTAAATGTAAAACCCAGAAACAAATTGCAGTTCTACATGACATTTTATATGTGATTCTTTAAAAAGATAAATCAGAATTGCAGGTGGCTAGAACAAAACCCTCTGAAGAAATTTATTGTAAAAATTAATTAGCAAAAGAAGCTTGCAGAATTAATGAGAACAAGCAGTCTGATTTTGAGTGAAATCAGGACAAATGAGTCTTAACATTAATGTAGGATATATCCCATGAATGATTTAATATTTGAGTGCCAGCTTGAAGACACAGCTAGCTAATCTTTTTTTTTTTCCCCACAAAGCTATATGCTTTAAAATGGTGAAAGTGTATTCCAGCATGTTATCTCTTGAAGCACCAGAGAAAGACAGTGGATCACAGACTCTCTTTTCATTCCAGCCTCATCAAAGTATTTGACCCTCAACCCCATCTTCCTTAAGCTCGTTGCTGTCTGAGGTATGCTGCTAGTCTTGTCCAGGAGAATTTAAACTCCAAATTCTATGCTGAGAATAATAAATATATAGGGCGAACTCTAAACTTTGCTCATCTTATGAAAATGACATTCTGATTTAAAGCGAAAACATAGAAAACTATTGCTTAGAAACAGAAATAACCATTTCAAGCCAGGTTACTGGCAGTCAGGGGTCAGGGTACCCTCATTTTCAAATTTGCTGTCTATCCATAAATTTCATCAGTTTAATGCGTGCACAAAATGTTTAGTCCCTTCAAAAATCATACCTATATATGTTTTAAGGGTTCAACTGTGGGGAAAATAGACTAGAAGTGTAGGCTTTTGTTTTTTTTCCCTTTTGACAGCACAACATACTATTAGCAGTTCCAAGTCAGAACTGATTAGTGCATGCTGAATGTACCAGCTGCTGTACAAATACAATACAGTACTTTGCTTTCTATCAGAAATTACCTTATGAAAATGTGACTGGATAATCTAATACATCACATAAATTCTTCTTCATGGTCTGTTCCTTATGGGAAATGATGGTTTTGTACTTTCCTTTTCCATCCTCAATTACATGTCCCAAATGTGGAAAGAAAAAAACTTTCCTTTTTCCATGCAGTGTTCTTCTGCAATAAAAGCCCAATTATGATCATTCAGTCCAGAGGCCATCCCCCTTTCATGCCTTCCACTTGAAACCTTCCTTGGCTGTCAATATATTTATGTTCTGTATAAATTGGTTCTTTTCCTGTATTTTTGTTCCAGTCTTAATTGTTGATAAAAAAGAAAAGCAGCTTTCACTGTCCAGGCCAGGTATCCTGTGAACCCCTCCTTTGTATTGATGTATTTGCTTTTCCAGAAGTATGGACTTTTAGATAACAGAAAAGTTTTTAGATTGTTTGCAATTCTGTACAAATTTGCTGTACAGAGATAGCTGGCCTCTAAACTCTCTCACCTGGCATCTGTGATCACCATAGTGGTTTGTAATAAACTGCTGCTAGATCTTACAGCGTACTGGGACTGGATCTTCATCAATTGAGAGATGAAAGTGTCACAACCCATCCTATAATCTCCCATCATTGTCAGGGGGTGCCTCAGAAGAGAGACATCTCCCAGACTCACAGACTGTAATTTTGAATGGCCTTTGCAAAAGCAAGTGAAAAGTCAGGGGAATATATTAGCTCACCATACGTGCCAGAACCAGTTGCATCCAAATTATTAGCGTGAATGACCCCACATAGCACACTGTGGCTGCAAACAATGGAATTCACAAAATGTGTTGGGGTTCAGCGATAGTTACTGTTTTGGGTTTTTTTTCTCCCCAGTTTTTTTTACTTGCATGCTTCTAGTTAAATTCTGTGCTGTTCATATATTGACCGTGAAGGAACTCCTGGTCCTCATGAAACCAATAAATGTTTTGGTATGGGCTATGCACTTAAACACATCCTTGTTTTTCACTCCACTGTTAACAGCTTTGTTGGCCATTTGAACCATAGATGACATCAGTGTTTCCAGCGCAAAATGCGGTATTACCTACCATCGTATTATTATTGCATTTCACCCTGTACAGAAACTAAATATATGTGGCAATGTATCTGGCAGAGATGTAAATGTCATAGACCAAAATAATTTCAGTGGGTGGGTGTTAGTGAATAAGAAAGAAAGAAGGATGTATATGAATGGTTTTTTGTGTTAATCTATCCCTGTTGTTTTCCCTCCTGTAAATCCAACTTGACAAAATCAACTTAAATTGGTGGATAGTTTCAGAATCAATGAAACAGTGTTTGGGGGGCAAGTTCAGTATTCACTAAAAGTATTTACCTGTGAAGTTCTACCTGTGAAGGCTCTTATTTGTTTCATATATTCATACAGCAAGCAGGGAATGTGACATATCGGGTAATAAATGAAAAAGTCCAACATGTTAGTTGTGATGTAGGAACTCTAGAATATAGCTCTGAAGAAGACCTAAAAAATCTTGTTGTCCATTCTCTTGCCCTAGGGCAGATCAACTGTATTTGAACTTTTCCTGACATGTTTGTCTCATCTGTTCTTTAAAACCTCCCACGGTGGAGAGTCAACAACTTCTCCAGGTAACTTACTCCCTCACTGATGGAAAGTCTTTCCTGACAGCAAACCAGAGTTTCTCTAACTGCTGTTAGAACCCATTAGTTTTTGTTCAATTTGCAGTAGACATGGCGAACAGTTTACTCAGTCCTGTTCCAAAAAGCACTTAAACATATGTTTAACTAATCATATATAATAACAGGAGCTTCCAGCTTCTCTGCTTTTCTTTCTCTCACTCATTTTAAAATGACCTTTGTGACCTGCTCTTCACTAGCAGCGTTGTCATTTTAGCTGGTATGCCCATGTAACAACAAATGCTGGGTCCTAATGAAAAATCTGGTCTTTTAGGAAATACAATATTTAGTTGGCTTAGACTGGTCTCAAAGGAGCTGTAGTTAGAGGTATGGAATATTTTAGTTTCCAAAACAAAAAGCCGTGAGGCACTGTGGAAGGCAATTAGTCTTGATGGCACAGGCACTGTATATCTCTCTGTATATCTCTATATCTCCATGTATATAAAAAAATTTCCTGGAAACTACTCTGCAAGATTTGTTTATTAATGAAAATATACTAACTCAGGATTTGGGCACTGCAGGTTTTAATTCCTCGCTGTCCAGGATTAAGGTCCACAAAAACCAGAACACACCTATAAACTAACAAGTAATGAATTCCAAAAAATGGGGCAAGACGTCATTCCCTTAGAATCTGCCTCATTAAGATGTTGATACCTTATCCTGATTAAGGTTCAGAATCATGATCTCTTTTCTGTAAATAAGACCATAGCTAGACTTCTCTTGCAATGTGCATAAAGGCACTGCTGATATTATTTTCCTTATGAAGAAGTTATTTGGTTAGGGTGTTTTCAAAGGATGTGGAAATCTATATTCAGCTCCCTTCTTGACCGGAGAGGAGCTGATACTGCTTCTCTTTTCACCCATGAGAGTGCACTGTGCATTATGCCAGCAGGTATTATTTTGCTTTTTCTTCTTGGGCTGTTTCCAATTTATATGGAATAATTAAAAATTTATTGGGACAGAGTGCTGACACATGACTCTCTAGCCTAGAGTTTATAATTATTACTGCTCTGATGAGTATTAAAGTATAGCGTATTTTGTCATCTTTGGCATACCCAAGGGTGGGATCCTCCATCCCCAGCATCGGTGTTGAACTGTCATAGATGCAAAGCCCTTCTCCCTGTTATCTCTCAACCCTTCTCTACCTCCCCATTGTCACCACCACGTATATTCAAACCTGGAAGCAGGAGGATTTAACAGAAAAGATTAAGAACCGTACTCCAAACGGCTAGTATGTAAGGCACTGTCACAGGAGCCATACGGTCATTCCTCTCGGACCGCATTTAGGGGATGCGGGATGCCGCGCTCAGCGGGCGGGTTGGCGGCACGTAGGAGTGGAAGTGTGTTCCGAGATCACCTCGTGGAGCGGGTTGAGAAGGTATGCCAGGAATGTAGTTTGTGGATGAAGACAGTGCTTAGGCATTGAGACGGTTGATACAATGCAGACAAGCTCATTTTGGGCACAAACAAATGCCAGGCA